GGGGCCACAATGGGGAATCAAAGTTTTACATAGAAATATATAGGAAAGATCTTTGAATATCATCTCAAGAACCACTGGACCAGAAAAGCTGAAACTTATGTGGAAGCACCCTTGGGTAGTGTAGATTCTAAATTGTTCAAATCATGACCCCCGGGGGTAGGGTGGGGCCACAATGGGGAATCAAAATTTTACATAGAAATATATAGGAAAAATCTTTGAATATCATCTCAAGAACCACTGGACCAGAAAAGCTGAAACTTATGTGGAAGCACCCTTGGGTAGTGTAGATTCTAAATTGTTCAAATCATGACCCCGGGGGTTGGGCGGGGCCACAATGGGGAATCAAAGTTTTACATAGAAATATATAGGAAAGATCTTTAAAAATCTTCTTCTCAAGAACCACTGGGCCAGAAAAGCTGAAACTGATGTGGAAGCACCCTGGGGTACTGTAGATTCTAAATTGTTCAAATCATGACCCCCGGGGGTTGGGCGGGGCCACAATGGGGAATCAAAGTTTTACATAGAAATATATAGGAAAAATCTTTGAATATCATCTCAAGAACCACTGGACCAGAAAAGCTGAAACTTATGTGGAAGCACCCTTGGGTAGTGTAGATTCTAAATTGTTCAAATCATGACCCCCGGGGGTAGGGTGGGGCCACAATGGGGAATCAAAATTTTACATAGAAATATATAGGAAAAATCTTTGAATATCATCTCAAGAACCACTGGACCAGAAAAGCTGAAACTTATTTGGAAGCACCCTTGAGTAGTGTAGATTCTAAATTGTTCAAATCATGACCCCCGGGGGTAGGGTGGGGCCACAATGGGGAATCAAAATTTTACATAGAAATATATAGGAAAAATCTTTGAAAATCTTCTTCTCAAGAACCACTGGACCAGAAAAGCTGAAACTTATGTGGAAGCAAATTGGGTAGTGTAGATTTTAAATTGTGTTAATTATGATCATTGGGGTAGGGTGGGGTCACAATATGTATTACAAGGGGAAAATCTGGTAAAGAACAATATGACAAAAGATTCTCAGGTGAGCGATGTGGCCCATGGGCCTCTTAATTGATAGGAGATATTACTGATTGGAATATTAAAACTATTCAAAATTTGTGTGAAATAAGAAATGATCAAAATACGATTTCTCTATACAGGAAGTAAACATTTCAATCTCAAATTGGATAAATATTAATAATAACAGAGATCAATGAATATAACAAAACTACTAGTAACTGCAAGTTAAATATATGTAACTTTTTTATGCCCCTGTAAACGAAGTTTCGGGGGTATATAGTTTTTGTTGTGTCCGTCCGTCTGTCTGTCTGTTTGTCCGCAAAAACTTTAACCTTGCCCATAACTTTTGATTTAGTGGAGCTATGACTTTCATCTTTCACATGTGTTTTCCTTGTAACAAGACCTTTCTTGGGTACCACCAAATTAGACCTTTAGACCTTGACCTTGGACTTTGACCCACTTTAACACAAAAATTCCAAACTTTTACTTTAGCCGTATCTTTTGAACAGTAGATACCAGGACATTTATGCTTCACATATACGAGGGTCATTCAAAAAATACGTAGACTATGTTCCTAATCGTCATATTATTATTACAAGATGATAGATAAACACATTATCGTAAATAAGAACATTTATTTTGTCGAAATGTGAAGTTTTATTCCAGTTGATTAAATAAAACTTAAGCTAGCAAAATTTTAAAGCAGCATGTTTTGTTACCAAGGAGCACGGTTAACCAACATTGTAACGTCAAAAACAACGCCGAGAAAGTTTCTCAAAATTACCCTGCTTTTTAATTTCATACACGGTTTGTATCGTCTTCTCCATTCATAAAAACGTATCTATAACACTTAACACATAGTTTGCTAACAATTGTGCAAAGAGCTTGAACTAGGTTGACTCAGTGTTTTCAAATTCTTTACCGCGTACATGTAACTCGATTAGTTCCGCAACAGTGCAACGCACATTAGAAGAATTACACGCTTAGTTTGGACTTTCAGTAAGGCGTGGCATTCTCGACGTTGCCTAATTAGCTTCTGAAATTTACACAGCTTTCCTTCACTGTTGAAATATACATATGATAGAAATGCGGCCGAATGTCAACTGGTGTAGTGAATAGCCAATTAAAATTAAAAGTTCTCTCACGCCACAGAGGTGGGACATAAGTTGCCTCATCGTTGTCAACAACAATTTTAATTTCCTGATGTTTTTAATTTCGTAACCAATGAGAATCTACTAGTATTCGCCATTACGTAGCGCCGAGAAAGTCACGCCCTTCTGAAAGTCCAAAGTAAGGGTAAAATCATCCTACGTTTAATGACGTTCCTAACTCTTTTGACAAGATTTTTAACTATATAACCTGTTTCTCTGCAGACCATTCATTGTCCGATTCAAACTCGCTACCACTCAAAAATTGTATTTTCCATATTTATACAAATACACAGCTTATTTTCATATATTGCTTGGTTTGTACAGGATTTTTTAAGTTTGTTAAAGAAGTTTCCCGAATGCAAAGCAAAATTTAACTGCTACTCGCTGCTCCATGACGTCCTCCAAAGTCATGTTCTTTTGCCATTTTTAGTCAAGTCCATATGTGTTTAGAAACTGATATCTTTTAAACGGAGCGGTATATTACATTACCTGATAACATCTTAAGTGATACAGCAAAACTGAATTTAAACATGTAATTTAAATTTCGTTTCAGCTCAATTTATTAGAGGTAAGGCTTTAGATACTATAAAGTGAAAATTAGTAAATTTCTCAATTTTGACATTGCTCCTTGACCCCATTTTTGCTGTACTAAATCTTCGATAACTTTTTTGAATAGGAAGATATATTCCTCTAATCAAATTGTTCGAATTTGTCGTTAAAATATGTGTACCAAATTTGGATGTAATATGACGTTCAATAAAAAAAATTAGGGCAAAAGTCTACAGACTTTTTGAATGACCCTCGTATATTCTTTGTAGAAAGTCCTTTCATTTGATACCAACAACTATGACCTTTTGACCTTGACCTTGAAGATTTTCGTCCTTGTGAAAAAACTTTAACCTTGGCCATAGCTTTTGAACGGTAAGGGATAGGGCTTTCATACTTCTTATATGTAATCCTTGTGAGAGGACCTTTTATTGGATACCAAGAACTTTGACCCTTTGACCTTGACCTTGGAGTTTGAACTACTTTTAAAAAGCAAATTTGACCATAACTTTAAAAGGGTTATGTCTTGTGCTTTCATACTTTACATATTTCTTCCTTGTGACAAGACCTTTCTTCCTATACCACCAAATTTTATCCTTTGACCTTGGAGTTTGACCTACTTTTCAAAATTGGTAACCTTGACCATAAATTTAGAAGGGTTAGGGCTAGGGCTTCCATACTTCACATATGTATTTTTTGTGGCAAGTCCTTTCTTTAGATACCAATAACCTTGACCTTTTGACCTTGGAGATTATTGTACTTATGAATAAACTGTAACCTTGGCCATAACTTTTGAACGCTAAGGGCTAGTGATATCATACTTCACAAATGTAATCCTCATGACAAGACCTTTCATTTGATATCAAGAATTATGACCTTTTGACTTTAACCTTTGAGTTAAACCTACTTTTAAAAATCGGTAACCTTGGGCATAACTTTAGAAGGGTTAGGGCTTCCATACTTCACATATGTATTCTTGGTGGCAAGTCCTTTCCTTGAATACTAACTGCTTTGACCTTGGAGATTTCCGTACTTATGAAAAAAAAACTTTAACCTTGGCCTACTTTCATATTTCACAATTGTATTTCCAGTGAGAATACCCTACTTTGGATACCAATATATTAAATTTGCATATAAGAAAAGTTTAATCTTCTCTATGTTGCCATACGGGGGCATCAGTGTTTCACAAACACATCTTGTTTAGTGTTGGCAACGAGTACCCGGTTAACCGGTTAACCGTCGAACGCTGCGAGTACCGGTTAGTAAAACTGCTATTCGGTTACTCGGATAAAAATGCATCGTATATAGTAAATAACAAAAAAAAAAATGAAATGTTAATTTGTTTATAAGCATATACTTAAATTTTTCTCTAAATTTTCTTTACCGATAGACTTAATGATCTAGTGTTTCACTAATACGATTGATTTGTTTTGATTAATAGTTTTCACAGTTAATTGATAGCTTGGATTGCCAGCAGTTTATACAAGTTTGAAGACCCGAATTAAAATTACCTTAAATAATTTAACAAGATGCCGCCAAAGACATATATAGCTTGAAAGTATTTTAAAAGAATAATTGATTCGATACTTGTAAAATGTTATTTTTGTGAATTGGAGTTATCGTGTACGGTTGTGACTTCAAATTTCTAAAGAATTATTCTCTTTGATCATGACATATATCGGGGGTCGAAAAGTAAAAGGTGATGAACGCCATTGTACACTTGAATATTTATTTTTCTTCTTCTAGCTCTGGCTCTGATTTAATTAATTTTTTGATTATTATATTAAAATTCTTTCAAGATAGTACGTGCGTGTGTATCTTTAAGTTTATAAATAAAGTTCTTTTACATTATATTACTGTTTTATTACTACCGATGAATAAAGGATGAGATAAATGATATAAATCATCCGAGTAACCGGGTACTCGATCGGAAGATAGAGCGAGTAACCGGTTACTAAATATCGTCCGATTTGCCAACACTAATCTTGTTGAATAAGTACCGCCTACTACTATTTGAAAAGGTGAAGTCATCTATTTATTTTGAAAATATGATTATCTCTAATTCGAAAAGGCGATATCACCCATTCGAATGTGCGGTATCACTTATTTGAATACATGTAGGTGATATCACTAAATGACAATAAATTCAAAAAAAAAAAAACAAAAAAAAAAAAAAAAAAAAACGCCTTAAAATTCTTGCTTCACGTACCGGATACATATAAAAAACCGTTAGAACAAAATAGCAATTAGATTAATAAGTAACTTAAGATTTTATTTGACCTGTTCCAGTGTGACACACATAACTGGCCACTAACTGATCACAGCGCGTGGTGACGGAGGTATATGACGTCGTCAATTCGTCATCTTCACCCGCACGGCTCTGTTGACCCTGAACGCATTGCAATTCCCCTGGTACATATGATTGCATTTGGGTGTCTGAAAAATTTATTAGAATTGCATAAATATAAAAAGGATGATATCGATTTTGGCTTGATTTAAAAAAAGTTGACAAAATAAAAATGATTTTTTCCCCAGATCACATTGTCTGTAAATTATTATACTTGACCGATTGCTTTCTTACTTGTTGTGTAGAACATGATATCTGTGGTTGCTAAATTTCCAAAAGTTAAAGTTCCACCACAGAAATCAGTTGTTGATCCATTACAAAGGCGAGCTGTGCATTTGGTCACAAGCGGCGGCAAGGAGGAGATGCATAAACAAAAATTTTCCTTCAAAAGTCAGAAAAGAAAGTTACATGGGATTCTACTAGAATGTATAAAAGTTGAGTCAAACATTTTCAAATCATTGTCCAAAAAATGCATGAAAGAAATATAGACAACACAAAATTGTATATTGGCTGAATCATGAATGTTTGTTGTTTTACATCCCATACGAGAATATTTCACTCATACATTAATAGAAATGTCGTAAGATTTTCAAAATATTATAATAATAAATTGAGTATCAATACTGTAAAATTACATATTTTCTTTAGATCAAATTTCCGAGGTTTTATGGAAAAAAATTATTGATTTGTGGGGACTTGATTTCATAAATGCTTTGGTCTCTACATGCCAAAGAAAACCACGGAAATTAACCCCCATTAGATTTAGTAATTTTTAGTATAGAGTTTTTACCGATAAGCCGTAGATAGTAGAGGCGGGACAGCTTTCCACACACCTACCCACCGGATCACTGCTGTGCAGTGGAATTCTACTGGCAAAGGGCAGTTGTGCTGTATATACCGTATAACAACCTGAAAATAATAATAATCCTGAATATTCGAAGAGTTTAATGTTGTACATTACAGAGCTAATTTCATAAAAGTCGCTTGGTTTTAAATATAAAGAATACAATAACAGCGCTAATCGGATCAATTCCTCCTGCAAGGAGCATATCAATAAATCATGCAGCATTCGACTTCGATCCCTTCATGGAAATTACGTCAGTTCCGTTTCGCGCTAATGACAGCCTAACCCACACACACGGCCGCGCGCACAAACCCTTACACACCAGTTTGTTTATACTAAATCTCCACCGACTCTTTTGCTAGGGGATAACAAGAAATATTATAGTAGTATACAGTCTAGAATAAAAATTATTGAAAAGAAATCAAGCCAGTTTCTTGTGGGCACGAAAAGATCTTTGGCTATCAAGGAGATTCTAAACACTTCTCACCAAAGAGTTCTAATTCTATGATTTACAATAATCAACTTTATTTGCGTGTGAGAAATTTTCGCGAGAACCTCGTCATCGCCAATATTTCTCGCCGCGAACCGATCCTTAAAGTCTCTGTGTCTATTAACAACAGATTCAAACCTTCCAAATAAGGTTTGATCGCGAAAATTAAACGTCGCGAAGTAGTTTTCCCCCGGTAATCCCAAAATAAAGTCGTCACGAACGAAGGTTGATTACAGTATGCAGTTAGCCTGATCGTGTTTGACTTTTGAACCCTAAAATCAGCATTTGTCTTCTAATCGCTGTAAAGATCATCTACCTGTCAAGCAAAGAGTTCTAAAGATATTGAGATATCAACATTTTGCTATGCACAGTTTCATCCTTGACGTTTGATCTTTTAATTTAACAAACAACAGGGATCGTTTGAGCTTGAAAAGAGGTTCATCGACGCCCTATAGGGAACCTGTGTATTAAATCTGTTGTCTCCTAATTGAATTCTTTTCAAAATTTGAGCATGTCTTCTTGTGTCTGTTTTGTTTCTTGATCTTTGACCTAGTGACATCAATTTGAATTTTTGACCTTGAGATCTCAAAAAATATCAGAGGGTCATTAACTTCATAAGGGAAATCAGTTGACAAAGTTTTTAAACTTTACTGAACAAACGATTCTCAAGATATTGAATAAGATATTCTTCTTGACCTATGTCTGTAATAGTTTTACCCTTGACCTTTTTACCTCTTGACATCAAAATCAATTGGTTCACTGACTTTTCAAGGGGTGTCAGTGTACAGAGTTTGACTGAAATCTGTCAGCAAAGGGTTCTCCACATATCGATAGAAGAATGTGTTTATTCTATATGTAATATAATATATAAATATTGCATGTAGTTGAGTCAACTTGAGTGTAACATTGAAAATTTTCACCCCAAGAAAACCATTGTCAACCGAGGTGCAGCCGAGGTTGACAATGGTTTTCGAGGGGTGAAAATTTTCAATGTTACACTCATCTACATGCAATATTATATTATACTGAATGTTTTATACAAATACATATAACAGTGAATTGTGCGGGCATAAATTCTGCACAGTCGCTATTTTTGGAATATCACCCGTCGTCAAGCACTGTTGACTGTTGCTACGCTGGAGGGCGTGGCTTCATTATTCAGGTAATGGTGTTTTTTAACAAATGTTTTTCGACCAATCAGATTCAACTAATTTACATGAAAGTATAATATATAATATGAAGTACTGTATGTTTTGGTTGTCTACCTCTGACATTTAGCCACTGAGTATGTCCCCTGTAGGCGCCAATCCAGGCCTTATTGTTGTTCTCCTCTGACGAAATTTTGGCATTTTGTAAAATCCCTTGTACACTTGGTCCAAGGAGGGTACAGTTAGAGGTTGCTTCCTCCCAGGTCAAAAGGTTATTGTTAAACGAAGCTGCAACATCTAAATAAAAATATATTTTGATTTATAATCATATTACCAAACTTTGTTAATACATATGTAATTTTTTTAATGAACGGTGATTATACGTCTGTCTCCCATTTCTCTTTTGAAGTCAGACACTCACAGCGTTAAAAAATGTCTGAGTTGGAACTCGTTTCCAGTAAGTTAAGAAAATGGACTGTTTTGTCGTGTAGGAAAAAATATCCGTCAAAGTTATTAAATGGAGGGGGGGGGTAACTTTCTCAGAAAGAGGTTTTCTGTTGAATAGCTGAGCGAATCCCTTCCATGGAGATTGAAAACTATTTCGCATATGCCTAAGATTGTCAATTACCCTCAAGGAGTAAATCTCTTTGAATGTTGTCATGTAAAGGGGGAACTCAACCTTAAAAAGGGTTAAGCTTAAACAGAGAGAGCTAGTGTGGGGAGGATATGCTTGAAAATATATAAACTTTTCCAGTCGATATTTATGAAGTGTTATAAATACATCATATTTAAGAGAGTTTGAAAAATCAATGGGGGGCATATGTTCTTTATTCACCGTGTGAAAGACAGAATTCACAAACATGTCATGAATATATATATGAATAAATATAACTTGGCTGGAAATTCCTCACCATTTGAATTTCATTTGACTCATTCCGTATTATAAAAAATTGATTTCACGTACTCCCCTTCCCCCAAATTCATCATAATCCATGGGTATATGTCTTCAAAAACGCAGATATCATTGTGATGCAATCATTACGTAAGTATCATGAATACTCTTTCATATATTACCTTGAGTTTCACAAAATCCACAGAAATATAGAAAGGTTACCACTAATAGCCGAACATACATTTTGATCGATTTATTATCTCCCCAGCAAGCACACTACAATGACTGAATTGCTTTACCCGTTCACCTCGGTAATTACTCAACACGGATACTAACTCTGAAATCATTTCCTCCTCAGTATACTAAAGTGGACAATCATCGGTAAATTTATGTAAAGATATACATACGGTTATTACTGACCACTTTCTCCTTTCTCTCTCCGTAATATTTCTAGCCTACTTTTTTTTGGGGGGGGGGGGGTATCAGTGTGAGAACCATTAATCTTTGAAAAGAAGGAACAGTTTGGGGTCGGGTTAGGGCCCATAGCCACACCCCACAAATATTTATAAAATCCTATGTATATTTTGGCCACGCAGGGGAGGGAGGGCTGTCCCCTCTAAATCAGTCAGTGCGCATATTTGTTGTAATCCTCAAGTAAATATGTGGACTTTACCGAAAAAATCTTCATAATCGACTGAGCAGGAAGGGAAGTCGATATATACCGGTATCTGGATTGACCACATTAAAGGCTATATTTGTTTTGAATTTGAGGTAGGCTATGTCATAATATTCACACACAGTAATATTTTAAGTTTTTAATTATCTATTGCATAGCTCTTTCAAAAGTCTTATTGAAAATTACTCATACATTTTCATAAATTTAGTTTTTTATCGGGTTTAAATACGGTCTATATATATATGATGTTAGTTATGATAGAACACTATTACAGTACATACTTAGGACTTTGGGCCATTCCATTTTTCTCTCTGTTAAGCATCCATGACGGGTTGGATTTTAAGGTTATGAAGTTAAAATCAATCAGGGTCTATGTGATGTTAGCTATGATAGAACACTGTTACAGTACATACTTATGAACTTGGGCCATTCCATTTTTCTCCTATTTTACATTTTGATCTGACACATATTTTGGATTTCCCACAACAAAACATGGACACTGCCATTATATTCATATGGGAGGCGGGGGTATCATTTAGTGAGCCCTCCCTGACGGGAAAAGTAGCACGCTGGGTTGACCTCATTCGTGCTACGGACACATTTCAACACAAATTATCTTTTATAATTATATTATTTTGCTTTAGCTTTAAATTGTATAAGATATAATTTTCAAAGTCAACATCACATATATCAACATCAACCATCACATATATCAACATCAACCACAAAAAGTCAACAAAATCAACAGTTCAATGGTTAAATTGAAGGTGACGATTTCGCCAATACGACCACTGTGAAGTATAGTTTACTGTCTTTCCCCGAACTCCTCGAATGGATAATTTGCCAAGCTGACCCTTGTCATGCATGGTATTCGGCCAGAGATCATTCCAAAGGTCCCAGAATACGGAAATAGCAGGCAATTCAAATCAGCATCGTTAGTCTCCTTCAACGAAATCTCTAATATCTGAAAAATCAAAAACAAAAACCCACAGCAGAAAAAGATTCTCAATAACATTTGCATAACTCTAATAAATTTGGTATAGCCAAACCATGTAAAACAATGAAAAATTATTTAAACAAACAAAGAAGAAAGGGTATATACTTAACACCTAGCTCAAGGGTTGAGGTGGGAGGGTATTTCATAATACAAAAACATAAATCGGATACTTTCATCACCCACCTTTCACTTTCATTGATGCATAGAAAAGGGGAGATAACCCGTAAACCTAGTGCCTAAGTACCGACACTGTATGGATGGATTAATAAATTCCGGCTTATCACATTTATTTATTTTTTATTTTTTTCCACAAAAAGGAGATGGATGATGACATATAATAAAAGGATAGAGCTTTGATAACGGCGCATATTGTGAGATGAACTCAAATATGCGGTATTATCAAAGACCTATGTATATAAATAAACAAATGCTACGTATTTAAGTTTAATGTTTTATTCGAGTTGGCAGGTATTGTCCACAGTGGTCTACACAACAGTGGGGCAGCCGGCAAAATGGCATACCCCCAACATCAACATAAGTTGTGCCCTCCCTGACGGGAAAAGTAGCACGCTGGGTTGACCTCATTCGTGCTACGGACACATTTCAACACAAATTATCTTTTATAATTATATTATTTTGCTTTAGCTTTAAATTGTATAAGATATAATTTTCAAAGTCAACATCACATATATCAACATCAACCATCACATATATCAACATCAACCACAAAAAGTCAACAAAATCAACAGTTCAATGGTTAAATTGAAGGTGACGATTTCGCCACATGGGCACCGTAGGTGCCCACCGCCACCTGGTGGGGGTAGGCAACTTCAATTTAACCACCCACCATGGACTCCTAGCCTACTCAAAACCCTCAGCAACCCATCAATCGTGAACATCACTCTCTCTCATTGCCAACCCACTGTAGTACTATCCTGCATTAAAATAATTCTGGTCTCCCTTCAAATTAATTGGGCCTAACGCCCCCCCCTCCTGAATTTATATCTTTCCAAGTTACTAGTATATTGCTTTGGGTCTCAGATTCCATTAATAATATCCAGCTGGCAAGAGAGAACTACTACATGGACTTATGTAAGACTTATGTAAGATAATTATGTAGAAAATATGTTTTATTTAGATTCCCCCTCCCCCCTTTTTATTTGTTTATAAATTTGAGTTTTATTTCTTATTTATTTATTTTTTAGGTGATAAAATACTTTCATGCAGAAATTAGAAACAAGATGAATGAGCACCTTTACTCTTTAACCCCCCTTTCCCTTTCAGCATGATTATGCTATTCTTGTATTGTTGACAATAATTTTAAAAGTGTTCACATGCCCAATTTGTAAACTGCAGAACATGTTTTGTGATATTTGGTAATGTATCTTGCCAGTTCTGAGGGAATGATGTTATACATGTACCACTTACACTGTATTTTGAAAGCGAACTCTTCAAAGGACCATTTAAAATTGATTAAATCTTGTATATAATATGTACCTTTCAAACCAAGACACACAATGGACACACAAAAAGGCACATATGATTAAATCCTTTATTCTAAACCCCTTCCCAGCTGATGCTCTATCAAAAATGCATGAACTTTTCACACCTTAAGCTCCCCCCCCCCCCCCCCCCCCCCCCCCCCCCGCAAAAATATGTTATGGAATAGGTTATTTAAATAATAGACTTCAAAATATTTTTGAAGCTGTAGAAAATGGATATATGATGGAGAGCATAAAAATTAATATGCTTAGTGAGTGGAAACTTATCCTATATCGAATACCCTAAAATGCTGGAGAATTTTATCTTATCAATACTATGAATCTTGTAACTCCTACACACACGTGGATTTGTATTTGTATCCCCTAGCTAACCTGTATTTGTACCCACTAGCTAATGCATGGATGTAAACTGCATGTACATATATATGCACCGACTAATGCATCTTAATCCCATATGAGATCAATGTGTAAAGTAACATATAATAATTATGCTACATGTAACTGCTCAGATGAGAGATAAACACCTATCATATTACATGCAAATGGCACCTGGGTTTGAACTGATATTTTCAATGGGAAAATGCCCCCTGAGATATGCATATGTGTCTTAATTTCCAACAGTAAGCACATACTGTTAAAGGAAATAGTTTGGATTGTAACCTAGCCTGTGGAACAATATGTGTTAACCCCCCCCCCCCCGCTGTTAGGTAGTTACATGTAGGTAATCTCGCCTTTAGTGCTTATTAGTGATAAAGAAAACTAGTTACCTAAACAATTTACCTTTGTGAGTTTAAAAACTGTGAATATAGAATTTTAACTAAAGCAACTTTTATCTGTGTGAAATAGCAAATCTTAACAACTTAGAGACACAGCAGAAACCAACACTGACAAAAAGCCCCAATTTGAACCTCATAAGTCTCATTATAACCCATTCTATTTTATTTATTTATTGATTTATTTATTATTGTTGCATGACCATTCATACTACAGCATATGCCATATTAGGAAAATACATAGAAAGTACCAGCACTGTGAGCTGTGTTCAAATGAGCCTGCATATGCATTGACTGTAGCACCTGAAGAACTCTGTAAATTGTCCCTCATTCCCAATGCCAAATTGAATAACCCGTAAAATTGGTAAAAGTTCAGGAAATTTGAGTTGCAATTCCTATTTTAAGGTTCACTTTCCCCAATGAGAAAGATAACTCAAAGGAATAAATGTAAATTATTATGTTAATTATGTTAATTTCCTAATACTCTTGACAATTTATTTATCTCACAGTGATTCAATTAGCCTACAAATTATTATTATTTAACTTCTTTTTATAGTCTTTTATTTGTAGAATTGTATTTCAATACCCAAAGTTCTCTTTTTGTATAAATATTAAACAAGTGACTAGACCCATGTTTTTAGAACATTGTCAGGAAATAAAAGCCCATGCTGAAATTAATCTCTGTGTAAATAATCAACATTTGTGAAATAATCTATATATAATAAATTAGTAAAATAAGTTTACCTGATTTTTCATGTTAACTTAAGATGCTACAAAACTTTTCATTTACTAAACACAACTTTATAGGATATAAGGCCTTTATGCTGTTAAGGGGTGAGAAGACAGTAAGGAGGCTAGGGGGTCAAGCCGGTCAACAATTATTAACCACCAGATATAATTTAAATTTTGGGATATGATATCTTAAGCTGTCAACTATCAATTGGCAAAAGAAAAATTTCATAAATTTTAGCTTTAAAATTTAATCAATTATATCTTTATTGAGCTCTTCTTCTAAAGGAGATCCAAATAGCCTAAAAATGGCCACAACCACCCAGCCCCTTTAAATGTATGTGTTTATATTGTGTTATCATCAAACCTTCTCAATTAAGGTAAAGGCGCTGTTAGAGAAATTCATGATTATGCTCATGTACACTGGAGACGGCTTCCATGAACGAACAGCATGGCCTTCTTTTATTTCCTTTATGTATAATTTTAACTACACCATTGACCAAAATGACAACACAGAATATATGCGAAACATGCCCTTCGCCCCATCTTACTTAATCTGAACCCTTTGATATGTATTAACCAGCAAAATAGTAGCTAGCCTTGCTAGATATTACATGTA